AGCAATCTCACTTCTGTGTATATACCTACCTCAGTTTCCTAGGGCTCCATAACAGAAAGCCACAGATTGAGTAACTTTACTGAAACTTATGTTCTCACAGCTCTGGAGACTGGAAGTCCAAGATCAAGGCATCAGTAAGTGTGGTTTCTTGGTGGTCGCTTGGCCCATACAAGTACCTAGTGTCTCTCAGTGTGTCCAAATTTTTTCTTATAAGGACATCAGTCAGATTGAATTAGGGCCCACCCTAAGGACCTCATTTTAACTTAATTACCTCTGTAAAGGCCCTGTCTCCAAATACAGACACATTCTGAGATACTGGGGATTAGGGCTTCAACATAGGAATTTCTTTGGAATATTCAGCCAATGACAATATCCAGAAGAATTGAAATCAGGGTCTTGAATAGATATTTACACACCCATATTCACAATAGCTAAAAGGTAAAAAAAGTAATCCAGGTGATCACTGACTGAAGAATAAACAAAATGTGGTATGTACGTAAAATGGAGTATTATTCAGCCTTAAAAACGAAACAAATTCTGACGGTTATACAACCTGAATGAACCTTGAAGATATTATGCTAAATGAAATGTCAGGTATAAAAATACAAATAATGTATGATTCCACGTATATGAGGTACCCAAAGTAGTTATATTCATAGAAATAGAAAGTAAAATAGAAAGGTGGTTTCTAGGAGATGGGAGGAGTCGAAAAAGGGACATTAGTATTTAAAAGGTACCTACAGAGTTGCAATTTTGCAAGAGAAAGAGTTCTGGAGATTGATTGCATAACAGTATGAATATACTTGACACTACTGAACTGTGCATCTAAAAATGGTTAGGATGGTAAAATTTTCTGTTATTTATATTTTACCACCAGTAACATTTTTTAATTAAAAAAATGACATCTATATATGCATGTTGTACCATTGTTAATTTCCTTGTTTTGATATTGCACTATATTTATGCCAGATGTAACCACTGAAGAACTTGGTGAAAGGTACAGGGACATCTCCATACTACCTTTGCAACTTCCCGTGAATCTGTAATTAATTTAGAGCAAAAAGTTTTAATTTTATGCTTTAAAAAAAAAAAAGGAATTTATAGACTGCCAATCTCTTGGACAAGGATAACAGAACTTTACCAACAAAGAGATTAAAGCCCATTTAACCACAGTTTGCCCATGATGGTAACTTTGATCAGAAAGAATCTCACAAGCTGCGACCCAGCAGGACCAAGTAATCAATGTCATGATTATTGCAAGTTATCAGCCTTCCAGGGAAGTGGAATTTACAAGCTTTCCCTTTGGCATGGGGCCTGGGTGACAGCCTCCTATTGAGCAGAGTTCCCAACAATAATTCCCCTGTATGTCAGAGGCCTCATTTCCCCAAAACAGTAAACCGTAACACACAGCCCAGATTCTCTCCATGTACATCACTCAGTATCACACCGTTGAGGCATAGCTGATGGTATTCCCTCTGGCCCATGCCAAATTGCAAGTGGTAGATTTTTTTTCCTTCCAAATTAAGGAAGACAAGATTTACCCCTTTTCTTGGAAAAGTGTTAGAGTACAGCACCCCCAATATCTAGGGTCTACAAATGTCTAAAAGTTACGAATCTCAGTCCGTCTTACCAATTTTCTTAATTTGGGTGACCTCAAATTTTTAAATGAAGGAATTGGAGGTAACATCTAGGATTTTATCTAGTTTTTTATGATTCAAACCCCAAATTCTCCACTGCAATGACTGTTTCTGGAAGAAATATTTCTGGATGCCTGTCTCTGAGAAAAAAAAGCTCTCACATAAGGCTAATTAGAGGGAAAACTCCTTTCAAGGCCACACAGCCAGGGATGTTTAACAAGCATACAAAGTAGGGACATATTTACCCATTCACCATGAAAAAGCACCCCTATGAAAGGCCCAATACCTGGGCTTAACAAAGATGAATAGTTTCACTTCTTGTGCGATCTTGCAGTATATACAAAAAATAACCAATAACATCCAGACTCTGATCACAAAGTAAAAACTGTCATGCTTGGATGTGCTCAAAAATAAAAATTATGAAGATCCTTAAGAAGCCATTTTAGGACCTACCAAATAAAGAGAAGTAAGCTTTCGTCTCTTTTCATCTTCGAAGCAACACTTCCCAATTAAGAGCATTCTCTAGTCCGGGTGTGGTGGCTCACATCTGTAATCTCAACACTTTAGAAGCTGAGACAGGCAGGTCACCCGAGGTCAGGAGTTCGAGACCAGCCTGGCCAACTCTGTCCATTGACCCCGTCATGGTGAAACCATGTCTTTACTAAAAATATAAAAATTAAAAGGCCGGGCGCGGTGGCTCAAGCCTGTAATCCCAGCACTTTGGGAGGCCCAGGCGGGTGGATCGCGAGGTCAAGAGATCGAGACCATCCTGGTCAACATGGTGAAACCCCGTCTCTACTAAAAATACAAAAAATTAGCTGGACATGGTGGCGCGTGCCTGTAATCCCAGCTACTCAGGAGGCTGAGGCAGGAGAATTGCCTGGACCCGGGAGGTGGAGGCTGCGGTGAGCCAAGATCGCGCCATTGCACTCCAGCCTGGGTAACAAGAGCGAAACTCCGTCTCAAAAAAAAAAAAAAAAAATTAGCACAGCATGGCGGTGGGTACCTATAATTCCAGCTACTTGAGAGGCTGAGGCAGGAGAATCGCTTGAACTCGGGAGGCGGAGGTTTCAGTGAGCTGAGACTCTGCCAATGCACTCCAGTCTGGGTAACAAGAGTGAAATTTCCTCTCAAAAAAAAAAAAAAAAAAAAGCATTCAATATTTATACCACAATAATAATGGTTTATTAAAAACCTACTCTGCCTGAAGTGCTTTAAAATATTATTTCTAAAACTCTAAAAACATACAAACATTAAATATGTATACTTGGCTACCTCACTCAGCATAAATTCCTGTTCCCTTTTCCACCTCTTCTGAAATATCTGCTGTTGGCTTCTGACCAGAGGTTATGCTTCCCAGCCTGTCAGAATGGACACCGTTCAGGTTGCAACTCTTGATGAGAAAGAAAGCTCTCCTTTGCAAATTTACGAAACCTTTTATTCTTCAGTTGATGGGTTTCACTAATAATCCCCAATATTTTTGTTCTATTTATTTATTTATTTATTGCCTTTATGCTTATTTTGCCTCTTGTTTTCTTTGCTATATTTGTTGGTCTTTTGTAATCTCTTGTTTCCTAGTTTATTTCTCCGTGTTTTCCAGGAAATAAATTTACGGCTATACATTTGCCTTTAGGTATTGCCTGTCATGTTGCACATATGGTGCATTTCATATCAGCATACATTTTCACATATGGCGCTTTCATGTCAGCTAAAAAAAAATGGAAAATTTCCTCATAGTCTTTTTACCCCAAGTATTACATTTTTTATTTCCAGATGGCACGGGATTTAGATCTCAATTTACCATTGGTTTTCTAGTTCTGTTTCATTGTGGTCAGAAAGGATAGTTTGCATGATGTTGATTCTTTTGGAATTTACTGCGAGTTTTTTTGCAGCTCAGGTTGTAGACATTTTAACGAATATTCTGCATGTAATTAGAAACAATATATTTTTGTTGGCTCTAAATTTCTATTAATTTGAAGTCATTGTGTTTTATAATTCATATTAATTATGAATTGCTCTTTTCTGTTTGATGAGGTTCTGAGAAGCAGTATTAAATCTACAGTTAGAATTAATATAGCTGTTTCTCTCCAGTCAGTTCTTGCTTATTACATACATGTGTTTCATGATCATTCAATCTTGATTGGTTATTTTTACCTATTATGCTTGTCTTTGTCTTTTCTGATGCTTTTCACCTTGAATTAAATTTTGTCAGATATTAAAAGAGCTTTCGTCAATTTTTTTATGGTTCATAAAATCTAGAATATCTTTTTCCATATTATTTTTTACTATTATTTTAAATGTATCTTTTGTAGACACACATTGCTAGATCTTTTTTATTTTTAATTGAATCAGATAACTTGTCTCAGTTTGTGAGTTGTATTAATTTAATTTATTAAATAGCTGTTAGGACTTATTTCTAACTTCTTAGATATTTTCTGTTTATTATGCATTTAAAAAAATTATTTTCCTCTGGCTGCTGCAGATGTGTGCTATAAAAAATATTGTTCTCCCTTGTATAAACAGAAATTTATTTTGCTGGGATGAAGTTATGCCTTTTATTTCTAATAGTCTGATTATGGTTATTTATTTATTTATTTAGACAGAGTCTCCCTCTGTCGCAGAGGCTGGAGTGCAATGGTGTGATCTCAGCTCACCGCAACCTCCGCCATCCAGGTTTAAGCGTTTCTCCCGCCGCAGTCTCCCGAGTAGCTGTGATTAGAGGCAGACGCCACCATGACTGCTAATTTTGTATTTTTAGTAGAGACAGGATTTCACCATGTTGCCCAGGCTGGTCTCGAACTCTTGGCCTCAGGTGATTCGCCTGCCTTGGCCTCCCAAAGTGCTGAGATTACAGGCGTGAGCCACCGGGCCTGGCCTCCCTAATTAACTCATTCTTTCCCCCACCAGTTTCTAAAATGCATCTGTCTCCTCCCAAGCTCCTGTTTCCTCATCCTCCATCCGCTGCAGATTCAGACAAGCATTTTAGTTCCTAAACCGCACGGTTTGCTCCCAGCTCCCGCGCCTCTGGGCTGTTACCCACACACCTCCCAATCCCTGAGGCCAAGCCTCCAGATCAAGGCTCAAACCCGCACCCCATCTCCACCGGCCCGCCCCCTAATCCTGCAGCCCGACGCCCAGGCATCTCCGGGCACGCTGGGGCCGCCTTCCCGGGGCTGGTGCTGCGGCGGGCGGGGCTGGTGCTGCGGCGGGCGGGGCTGGTGCTGCGGCGGGCGGGGCTGGTGCTGCGGCGGGCGGGGCTGGTGCTGCGGCGGGCGGGGCTGGTGCTGCGGCGGGCGGGGCTGGTGCTGCGGCGGGCGGGGCTGGTGCTGCGGCGGGCAGGGCGCACCCGGGCCCCCGTGAGCCCTCCGCGCCGCCGTCCTCCTTGCTATTGGCTGGCCGCGGCGCCCGCTTCCTCTGAACTCTCCCGGGCGGGACACCGCGCGCCGCGGCCTCGCGCTCCTGCTTGGGTTTCCGGACCCCTCTGCCTGAAGGATCTTCAGGGGTCCCCGGACTCCTCCGCCTGGGAGCCTCCATGCGCCGCGCGCAGCCCCCGGCAGGTCCGAGGGGAGGCGTCAGCGGCGACCTGGTGGCGCCTCGCGGCCCTGCTCCCTGGGCTCAGCGCCGCCGCGGGCGTTTACAGCTTTTGTTTTGGGCAGAACCTATGGGCCCAGAAAGCCGGATCGAGGAGCGGTGGCTGAAGAACGAGCTGGAGCTTGAATTTCGCTTTTCTTATGAGGGATTTTCCAGAAAAGATATCTTCACTGTGAAATAAGTAAATAAATGCCCACTGAGTCCAGTAAGTATTGATATCGTCCTGTAGCATTTGGCTAGGAAGTGGTGTCAATATGGTTTTTTCCTCAGATTTTACAATACTGTACAGAAGGGCCAGTGCCGATCCTTCCATAAGGAAGTTTTTTTTTTCTTTCTAAAGATGTTAATTACCTCGACTTGGACTAACGGTGACACTCGTGAATATGAGTGTTAAGAAACAGTTTATTTCTCGCATGTATGAAAAGGAAATTTTCCTTCGTCTATCTCAGGCCCCTATCCAGAGTAAAGTCAAGATGATTTAACTTGCAAAATTAAACACCTCATTTCAAACGAAATAAAATTCAGTCTGATGAGAAACCCCTTGGAGCAGTTTATAGTAGCCTAATTTTCCTTTACTACTGTAGTAAGTTGACTGAGGATTATGGAATGCATCTAAAAAGCAGTTCTATTTACAGATCCGAGAATTAAATGCTAAGGAAAAGCATTATTTCTGCAAACCCAGGTAGTATGGACAAGCTGACGGGAGTTTTATTCTGCCAAGTGTTACTCTAAATTCAATAGTTGGTCAGCGAGATCTCGGCTTGGTTATTCTTGGATTCCACCCCGAGCTCGCCGGCACAAGTAGCGTGAAATGGATGGCCGTCAGTTTCCTCTTCCTAAGCCTGGGTGTGGTTTGGCGGGGCAGAGTACACACTGGCTGCTCTGGAGGGATTTGAGGAGCCTGGAGAGGCTCACCACGTGGGGGTCTCCCCCTAGTGACCAACGGGCTGAAGTTCCTGTGGTTAAAGGCAATTGCTGATTTTGTCATCAGCTGGAAGGTGAAGCGCAGCGACCTCCTGCGCGTACAGCACCATTCTAAAAGCTTGACGTGTTTAAAGATATGACGCAATATGTACTCAGAAGGAGTAAGACAATATCACTAGGGTACAAATTAAAACATAAAATTGCATACGTTGACTGTGGGATTAGCTCAGCGGAACACACTTTAGAAAACACTACTTTAGCGACCTTATTCTGAGTCCCTGTAATGCTTAAGGCACCTTATATATATTACGATGGAATGCTTTCCTAGAGTGATATTCTGTGGTGGAAAGAGTAAGTCAAAGGTCCTTGTGTTCTCTGTGACAGTGGAAGAAATTGCAATTAAATATAAATTGGGGTTTTAAAAAACGTGGGAAAAGTCTGAAGAAGCAGTTGCAGAAACTCCTCACAAAGTCAGTGAAAGCTAGGCCGGGCCAAGGTGGGCGGATCACTTAAGGCTAGGAGTTTGAGACCAGTCTGGCCAACATGGCAAAACCCCACTTCTACTAAAAATACAAAAATTAGCTGGGTGTGGGTGGCTAAGGTGGGAGAATTGATTGAATCTGGGAGGCGGAGGTTGCAGTGAGCTGAGATTGCACCACTACACTCTAGCCTGGGCAACAGAGCAAAACTCTGTCTCTCCAAGAAAAAAAAAAAGACATGTACTGTAAATGTAAAATATAGGCTGGATTTCAGAGGCATATTATGTAAAAAGGAATGTAAAACATCTGATTAATTTTATATATATTACATGTTAAAATTATGTTTTTGACCTATTGGGTTAAACAGAATATAACTCAATCCATTTCTTTTCTTGAATAATTTGGCTTCTAGAAATTTTTAAATTGTATATATGGTTTACATTATATGTTCTTCAGACAGTGCTGATATAATAGTAACAAAAAGTTTCAGTATTATTTAAGATAAAAGGCCATCATCAGGCAATGCAGGACAGATTGTAGCAACAGAAGTACTACAGAGAGTCAGAGAATGCCATCAATAACCTTGGAATCCTTTGCTTGGGCAAAACATTTGCTTTTTACTTAGCTGATCCCTTAAAGCTTAAGTTGAAATGTTACAGAGGGAATTTTACATGAGTTAGCCACCTCAATTTTGTAACTTTGTAAGGAGAAAATGGCTTACATTTGTGCATCTTCAAGGTTTTCAAACCTTTGCACATTTATTATCTCATTTCATCTTTCTAACCTGAGAGGAAGGGAGAGCAAGTTATCCCCATTTTACTGGCGAGGAAACTGAGGCTAAAAGAGTTCATGTGATGTGAAGAATATTGGAATTAAGGATGCCAGAGAACAGTGTCTCAGAATGACCAAATCATTATGGGGTCCATTTGGAGCTCTCGCTATAGAGGGAGAGCTTCCTCAGGGACTTCTGCAGAAACCTCCTTATTGGAGATGAGGAGGAAGCTTGAAGACACTTGCCCACTCGGACTCGGTACTGAGTACTTTTCCACTCCAAGCCCTTCACCCTCTCCTCATGCCAGGCCCTGGGTTCATAAAACTGCAGGAGCCTTTTGTTCAGGGGTTCCCTCAGGAATGCTGTGCTGATCCACATGACCCTGGACTGGTACCATTCTATCACAGCAAGGGATTAAAGCCTTGACTCTTCCTTTCATATTGGCTTATTGTCTTTGCCGCTTTTCTGACACCTGGCCCCTCAATTCTCTGGAACTAAGCTCGGCCCTGGACAATTAAACCTGCTGTCTCTTTGCACTCTGACTTCCATCTTGTCTCCCATCCCAATACTCTTCCTAGATCTGGCTAGGCATAGCCCCCTACTTTAAAGTTTTGGAATGCTCACAGGCATTTCTGGGATTTGGCCAAGGAATAAGCAGAGTTGAGACTACACCGAGTTTGGGTTTAATGGGATATGTGTATGTGGTTTCTAGTCACATCCATGTATAGTTAAGTATTGGTCATCCCACTGTTGGAATGGTTTTTAGGAATACTCCTACTAGTGACTGTACGGGTTCATGTACACCCTACACATAAAAGCAAGGCCAGAGGTTACACTATGATATGAATATGACCTATTGTGTGGCACCAGAAATATGCAGGTAGTAGAGAAGAAACAGATTGAAATGAACTGTGGTAGATCCATTGCAAGAATGTCTCCAGTGTTTCCCTGTAGGCAGACCCTTTGCAATGTGATCTTTTAAACTCTACCCATTAAAAGTTGGGTGCACGTCATGCATCTGAGCAGGCTTTGTGACTTACAATGCTGTGGAAGGAGCCATACTTGAAGAATAGGGCTACTTTAGTCTCTAGGAAGAGGCTACTTTGAACCCTTTGCTAACAAAGCTTTTAAAATACCTTTGCTATAAGAATCAATGTGGTCCATCACTAAATTAACTGTCTGTGAGAAAAAACTAAATACTCTTTAAAGGAAGACAACAAAATCTTGATTCACAACAATGTAGAATCTGTAATGTCTAGCATGTAATCTATCAAAATATAAGAGAGGCAGAAAAGCAGGAAAATGTGACACTTATTCAGAATATGTATTGCTGGACAATGCTGATCACCTGTTTTTTCCAACACTGGAGGACTTGTGGAATGTTGACTCAGCTTGTCCCTCCTCAGTGGTAACTGTTCCCTGCTGGCCCTCACCGTATCTTATCCTGCACATGTGCAGCTTGCCATTTTCTAAAGACTTCAGGGGAATCGCTATGCAGAATTCTTGAGTTCCTTCTCTACATCGCTGCTTGTCCTTGGGCACCCTTCTCTACTTACTCTAGGCAACTCAGCATCCCTGATGTCTCTCTGGACTTCACTTCTCCATTCTGAGTCCAAAATGGCCCCTTGAGCAGGAATCCAGGGCCACCAGGGCAATCTTTTTTTTTTTTTTTTTTTTTGAGACGGAGTTTCGCTCTTGTTACCCAGGCTGGAGTGCAATGGCGCGATCTCGGCTCACCGCAACCTCCGCCTCCTGGGTTCAGGCAATTCTCCTGCCTCAGCCTCCCTGTAGTCCCTACAGGCACGTGCCACCATGCCCAGCTAATTTTTGTATTTTTAGTAGAGACGGGGTTTCACCATGTTGACCGGGATGGTCTCGATCTCTTGACCTCGTAATCCACCCGCCTCGGCCTCCCAAAGTGCTGGGATTACAGGCGTGAGCCACCGCGCCCGGCCCCACCAGGGGAATCATCTCATTTGTTTCCCATCTCTCATGTTAGCAGTCTGTGCTAAGATTCTTTGCTTGGCCAAACTTTGATTAGGCTCCTGTGCCTTCTACTAGGCCCCTCTGTGCACTTCTATGTAAAAGCCAGTTGTAACAAGAACCCTGCTTAGTTGGGTTAGCAAGAATCCCTGCCTTTGATATCTGATCACCCTTGATATCTGATTGGATTCCTCATCCTCTACCAACCCACAGGTGATGTCTGATTTATCTGGCCTGCCTTCAGCAAGAATTCTGTTAGGTTGGTTGGTTTAGCCAGAATTCCCCTTACCATTGATGTTTCCTCTCGGTAATTTTCTATCCACTGCCACTACCCTGCCCCTTGGCTATAAATTCCCTCTTGCCCATGCTGTATACACAGCTGAACCTAACCTCTCTACCCTACTGCAGAATCCTATTGTAGAGGTCCCTGTACCTTTTGAGATTGTCCTAAATATTATCTGCCATATTGTGCTTTAACAAGTATCATTTTTAATTTTTTTTTTTTTTTTTTTTTTTTTAGATGATAGAGTCTCGCTGTGTCACCAGGCTGGAGTGCAGTGGCACGGTCATAGCTCACTACAGCCTCAAACTCCTGGGCTCAGGTGATTCTCCCAGCTTAGCCTCCCAGGTAGCTAGGACTACAGGAGGGTGCTATCATGCCAGCTGATATTTTTATTTATTTTTATTTTTTATAGAGATGGACTCTCACTATTTGGCCAGACTGATCTCAAACTCCTGCCCCCAGTTCCCTAAAGTGCTGGGATGACAGGAATGAGCCACTGCGCCTTGCCTCATTTTTTTTCTTTATCATGTGCAATGTCTGCCTTCTGTCTTTTGTCCAGTTTTAAAGTTGTTTATGGTGAGAGGAGGGCTAGTACACACATGGTATTCTATCATGTTTGGAAGTAGAAGTCAGTTACCCATAAATTAGAGGTGAAGAAACTGAGGAACTGAAAGGTTAAGCAACTTGCACCAAATCACATAGCTGTTTACATGTGATGGAGCTTGAATTCAAACCCAGGCAGTCTATCTTTGGAGATGCTCACT